CACTTAAAATATAGGACAATATAACATCTAAAAACAGTAACATGTGCAAACCATTTCAGAACAGTATAAGTTTTTTATAAGTGGACAAAATAAAAAAATCAAACAGTACCCAGAATAAAAGTGCCAATACTGCTGGTTGCAAAATAGTGGCTGGGCGAGGTAGCGTCATCCAGTAAAATAAATATCACAAAGTAAAGCCCACTACCACATTGTAGTAAAAAAATAAAATCTTAAATACAAATAAAAATAGTGCAAAGATTAAACACTAAACTTCAAGGGATATTCCACTCAAGTACAGTTTTGTCTGTTAGAATTCCCAAAGTTAGCTGAGTGAGACAAATGATTTTGTAACATGGTTAGTCATTCTCCTGATCTGGAAGCATTAAGTTTTGCTTTAGCTTAATATAAAACAATGTCAGTGAATGGAAGGTTATAGCATGCCATAACCTTCCATTCACTTAATTCTAACAGACAAAACTGTACTTATGAGTGGAAAATGCCCCTAGGTGTAAAGTGTGAAAAAGGCATCAACAATAGTCACCAAGCGTTTTCAATGCTTAAAATAAAACTGATTTTGTTCGGTTTTCTGTAAACTTAACACAAAAAAAATGTAAAAATAAATATGTAAACCTTCAAGATACACCATTTGCATTGTGTTCACTTTGCCTTTTTTCAAAGTAGTATTTGCTTGGAAACAATATTTTGTTTGAAGAGTATTAAAGCTTACTTTAATACTTCCATTTCAAAAGAGGTAGATTGTGGTACAAAAAAAGGGTTTCTCTGCATTTTCCCCAGTGAGGCTGCTTCTTTTTTTGGTATAGATATTCCCCACTCCACTAAAAACTCGCTCGCTGGGAACAGAGGAAGGGAGTGCAGAGAGAAACTTCCGAGCAATCGGAGCAAGTAAACTGAAACGGGTGGTGTTATGTTGCCACCATTTCAAGGGGTTCCCAGTCTTTCTATCAATCAAGGGCTCATGCGGGTACTGCTACAGCTGGGATGATATGTCTTCTCGTGCAGTTTCCTCTGGGGATGTTGTTTGCAGGATATTGGCATACATTTGTTCCAGTAGTCCAGGGCTCGGTCCATCTTCCTCCTCATCCAAGCATCCGCTGCAGCATATGAAGGGTTAAGTTCCAGCGTGTTGAAACATCTTGCAATATGCTGTGGAGAGGTAGGCCCAGGTCAGTCTGAATTGTATGCAGCTGCTGTTTTGCCAAGATGGAGTGGTTGAAATGTGTAGCACAACGCTTCAACTTCGCTATAATGTCCACAACAGTGCGCTGACTGTCAAGCCCTTCGTTTATCACAAGCTGCAGCGTGTGAGCTGAGCAACTTAGATCTGGAATCTCTGCAAGCTTGAGCCTTTTTACCATGTTGGCCCCACTGTCTCGCAACACAAGAAAAACTTGTTCAAGATTTATGTGCCACTGCTGAAGCATTTTTAAAAACATCTCGCCGATGTATTCTCCTGTGTGCGACCCTGTCATTGCTTTAACATTTAGAACAACCTGATTCCTTTTCCATTCTTTATCAATAAAGAGGCATTGTAAGGCTCATTAATGATTCTGTGTCCCCTGACCAGCAGTCTGTTGTGAAAGACAGAAACTGCTCCTCGTCTTCAGAGGAGACGAGGGCTTGAGTGTGTTGTGTAACTTTGTGATAAATATCATCCAAGATATCTGTTCGTTAGTATTTCTCTGACTTAAGGTTATACCGGGGCTCGGCATGCAGCATAAGTCTTTGGAATCCTGGATCAGACACCATGGAAAATGGTTGATTGTCTGTGACAATCATTTCCATTATCAGTTTGTCATACACCTTAGATCGTGAGTGGTCGTTCTCCCATTTTCTGTGGGCATCCATTACTTGAGTCAGTGTAGGCTGGTTTGGAGGTAAGGCTGATTTGGCCATTTCATCCTTTTTCTTTTCAGCCTCATTGTATGCCAGGAGGTGGTGACTCTTTAAATGAGACCACATGTTTGATGTGTTCATCTTTTTGGCAACATCTGCTCCTATGCTTACAATGCTGCTGCAAATGTTGCACTTGGCTTTTCCAACCATTGACTGAGTGAAATTGTCCCATACTGGAGTTTTTTTCAGCGCAGCCATTGCCTGCAATAAATAAAAGCAAATGTTAAGGATAAAACTTGCAACAGGTTGTGCCATTACTAATACAATAACAAAACAACCATGGCCCTTTAATAGACAGTTTAATCTTTAACATTAATTAAATCTTTTTTAATTATATAAAATTATTTCTCAATGTATAAACTTACAATATGTTAAAAATATTAAAATCACATACAAATGTTGGTAAAATCTCATTGTAGTGTTGTATGAAATTAATCAATATGATACGTTTTAATCACAGCTAATTAGTGTTTTCTAAATAATCCACAACATTTAATTTAAAAAAATGGCTCTATGTGCTCCTATTCCTCTCCCTTTCCCTCTGAACAACAAATTGTGTGATCAGGGCTCCTTGTATTATAAAAGGCAAATGAAACAGTCTTGCTGTGACACATCTGCCCTCTCACAGGTACAGACTATCAGTAAATGGAGTCGCTGCAGCTAACGGTCGGTTTAAAAACAAGCAGTTGATGTTACGAACGAGATGGGATGTAGTCTCGACAAAGGCGTAAAACCTTGTGTCAGACAGCGGGTGTAAACTCCCGACGGCTTTAAAGAAGAGGAAACAAACTAAAGAGAGCTTCCTCTGCTGCAGTTGCTCTGTTTATATATCGCTTGCAGCGACTGACGTCACTATACACATTCTTTCTCTTACTCGCCTGCACAGCTATTAGCGAAACGAGCCACCGTTTCATTTCACGTGGATCGAAATTCCGTACCCATTCCTACACATCAGGCTCTATGGAGCGTTGAATCGAAGTTTATAAATGGATAAGCAACGCCGTAGTTGCCGAGTAACAGATTCATTATGGTTTAGCATATGCTACACCAGTGTTGCTGCAGAGAATGGTACCTTACAACAAATAGTTGCGTTTTCATAAGCTTGTGTGAGACGGTCGAAAAGGGTGAGCTCTCGCAGAACAAAATCTCTAGTCTCACAACTTTTGCAAATGTATAGCCTTCATACTTTAAGCTTTGCGATACCTTGTTGGTGTTTAATCTAGTCGGTTGTTATGCTACAGCCACTAAGATTTTTTTTTTTCAAAAACTGCGTCAAATAAAAAAAATCCCACTAATGTTTTTGTAGTCATCAAACCTCCGTTTATCCCTACTACCAACTAACTGGATTTCACATACAAACCCCAGTAAATGTAATCATGCTGGCGCTTGGCATTGCTGTTGAACGGAGTGGTAAAGTGACTAGCATCTGAAGCCGACATGTTTCAAGTCAAGTACTAGAATACTGAACGGGTTATGTGACAAGCTTGATGACCACTCAATAAATGCATTTTAAAGGCTAAATTCACATTCCATGTTTTTTCTTGTAAAGATAAGGAAATAAATCTTACCGTTTATTTGAACAGGAGAAGATTTGGAGCATAGCGCTGTTGAGTGGGCTGGTCCACAGACAGTGACAGAGGTGAAACGCCGATGGTCGATGTGGAAAAAAATGAATATATCGGCCCGATATATTGGTCGGGCTCTACTGCCTGCTATGCGGACCAAACTCACACTCCTCTGGTACAGGGACTGAATGGCCCTTAGCAAAAGACCATCCAACTGATACTCCTCCACAGGGTGCCTCTAGGGACACGGTCATAAGCCTTCTCCAAATCCACAAAACACATGTGGATTGGTTGGGCAAACTCCCATGACCCCTCCATCACCCTAGCAAGGGTAAAGAGTTGGTCCGCAGTTCCACGGCCAGGACAAAAACCACAAAAGATGAATCACTGAATGCAAATAGAATAACAGAATTGCTGGGTTTCACTCACGTGACTCTGCAGACGCACAAAACTCAAATACGGGACAGAAGTGTCTTGCTCCAAAAGAAAACAGCACAATGATAGATAAAAGCAATTTTACCAAGACTTTAAGCTTTAACCGGTTTGACTATTAACCACGGTGTGAAACGCAGCGGTGAACCCACCGTGAAGACATCTCCAACACCGCAAAAATAAATCAATAAATACAATTGGCGGACCAAAGCGAAAGTGAAACTGAACACACGCACGCAGCAGAACCAGCATCAACCAGCACCGGGACTGCTCGGTTTCCACCTAGGAAGCGCTTCGAGTCTCCTGTGAGGGAATATTTAGACTCCCAAAGCTGCTAAAAAATAAAAGATTAAAAAAAAAAAAGTGAACCCAGACAAAGTAGCTCCAACTGGGTCAAATTATGTTAGTGACTGAACGGACTTAACAGTTATATTAGAACAATAGTCACTAACCCCAATCTGCATTTAGTGACAGAGGTGAAACGCCATGCGAAATCCAGCAATAGCGCCATCTCAAACAAATTAGGTCTTTTTACATCCACAAGGGTCCAAATGATGTCCTCTAATAAAACTGCTGGTCTAAAAACTCTTACAGCCACACTAACATAACATAAAGCTAAAATTGGTCTCTTTTTCAATTTACCTTCAATTAGTATACTCATATTAGCTTCAAATGTTTGATCAACATTTAAGCTGATCCATCAAATGAAGTGTTAACCCCCTCTTCTGGGGGCTATTGTCAGCTATTGGTTGGTAGGTCAGAAGTAACGTCCCCTTTCTCACATGTGTAGCTAAAACCAAATGTGGCACAGTAATTGTTTATTGAGCTACCAAATACTCAATGATTTGATGTAATCATCATGTACATGTACATTGCGATCTTGATGCTCAACCATAACATTGTGCAGCTCTAGTTAAAATAGTCAAACCAATCCACCAACGAGCCCACCAATAAATTCATCCATTCATCTACCAAACAAACCACACATCAAGCCATTAATTCACTCATCAACCCATCCCTCCATCTACCAATAAATGAATCCATACATTCACCACTCCATCCATCCAGAAGTTTGCTAGCTGTACTTACAGTTTTTCCAAAGCAGAAAGTCCAAAGAAGGATCCATTTCTGAGTTCTTGAATCTTGTTGTTGTTTAAAAGTCTGGAAAGAAAGAAACATGCATTAATTTGAATGTATTTTTAAACAGTAAAAATAAATAAATAAATAAACTGCTGTGTTTGATAAGTTGTAAAACATGATTTGCTAAGCAGCACGCTTCAAGCATTTGAGCTGTTTTTGTCAAGTTATTACAAATCTGGTCCAGTTTAAGATCTGGAAGAAAATGAAACATTTCTTAGAGAAAACCAACTATAGAGTCCAAAGCATCTGAGAGGAATGTGCATTAATTAAATGTTATGGTAGAATCAATTGGATCAAGTGACTTTTTTTAATTTCTGGGACACTACACGGTTACTTGTCGACACATGACATTAAAGTTTTGCTTCTTTGAGTTCTCGTCTTCCTCTCCTTTAGTCAAGGGTCTGAAGCAAACCTAGGACAATTTAAATCTTGGGCCAAGTTTTCATTCTTGAATGTTGGATGTTTTTTGTCTGAATAAAGAAAAAAATCATTCTTGACGGTGCCACTACACAGACTCCATACATATAGAGTAGGCTTTCCTAGACTGCATGTATGCAAGTGCATTCCATATAGACTAACTCTTAGCATACAAATATTTAAAAAAAAAGTTTGGCATATCCAAGAATTGACGTCTTTGTCAAATAACTGCTGGACTGCAAAGGTATACAGGGCAAAGTCAGAATTCAAGAGGATGCCCTTAGAATAGGGACATAAAGTTACTTGAGATGTCAAAAAAGCTTCTGTCTTTACAGAACAAAAGTTAAATTAGATTTAGTTTGTAGATTATGAAACTATTTCAGTCTGGCTGCACAAGTTCACCTTTTAGGGTTTGAGATTCGGCTGTTCACCTCAATAAATCTGTTACACAAGGTTTCACTAGAAGTCATGAACCTTTACTTGGCTTCTTTCCACCCTTAACCCCTCCAGCTATGCATGTTTACTTGTCTTATGCGCACCTTCCTCTTCCTCATGACATGACTGCAGTGTGACTGACTGCAAAAGCCATGTCTTCATTACAAGCTGCACTGGCACAAAAATGCCTGGTAATTATACAAGTAATACAAAGCAAAGGGTCAAATCTGATCGGAGGTAAGAGTGAATTAACCATTGGTATCTCTTCAGTCAGGATGTCTTTGTGCTTCTCTACATCAGTCTTATGTCTTCAGATTATGAGCAGGTCTGTGGATTTGTTTTCTTTAACTTTTCAGGAGGGGAGTAGCTCCTCTCTTGAGGCCTACAGTAAATAAAATCTGCTGTCGTTCACGCCAGAAAAAATAAGCATGGATCCGACCAAATCCCACATCCTGTCTGCTAAAACAGAATACATAAATCTGTGAAGTTTATGAGAGGCCCATCTTTCAAAACTTCCACAAAATGTTACAGTAAAATATTAATCTAGATTTCATCTAGGCCTAAATGTGAGTAACTAGGGCACTTTAAAGCATGTCTTATTTTCATGTAAAAAAATAAACCATATCTGGCGAGACAGACAAAATTGTGTGAGGCCCTCCCAAAATGTGGTCATTAGGCTTTTGTGTTAAAAGATTTCCAAAAATGAGGATCTGCATCTCTTCTGAAGATTTAAAAGAAAAAACAATCATTAAAGAGTTCAGATCAAATACCAATCAAGTGTTTCTGTGCAGCAGATGGATAAGTGAGTTTCCACTCCTCAACTGATTTTAGTTTTAGGACATTTGTATTTAAAAAGTAATTCTTCAGAGGATATAATTGTAATAGATCCTTTTCAGCTGAAGCGAGCAAAAACAGAGCACCTGCTACTTTCATCTCCTAACTTGTAGCCTTCGAGTCATTTTTGCACCATAAAAACGCAGAAAGAACGTAACCACTTAATTGCTCAATGACAAAAAATATATATACAGCCAACTTTTTTCGCTTATCCGGAGTCGGGTCACGGGGCAGCAGCCCAAGTCGAGAGGCCCAAGCTTCCCACCTCCCAGCCAAAATATATAATATATAATTATGTATAAAACTGATTTAAAGGCTCAGGTCTAAGCAAAAGTTGCACATCTGAGATGAAATTGTATTAAACTCCAACTAGCCAGAGCCAGCTTGTCTTAGCTAGAAAAGGGTAGAATGCCTTCTCCGATTCAGGGATGAGCTCCTGCCCCAAGTAAACGGTTTGTATTTGTATTGTACCTTTAGGGTTCTACAACCCCCCCAAAGCGATGAAGAGAGAGCTGAGCTGGAAGGTGAAGCTCTGGAATAACTGGTCAATCTACGTGCCTACCCTAAATCTCAATACTCACACTTCCACCCTTTCGCACTTCAATTGCACGATCCCGACTAGGGGTGCGAGTGCGTAGGGTGTCCCGATTCCAAGTGCGGAAGTTGATCACGCCTCTTTTGCACCCTTGCTCCACACTCCACTCAAGTCTGCAGCGATGTGGACTTGGGTGAAGGGCATTACCCACAATCCATTGCTGCAGGAGAAAAGGCTCATGTAATTTTTTCTGAAAATATGTATTTTCTAATGAGTTATTAATTTTAGTTTGATTTGTTGATGCGCTAAAACTTTTAGATAAAGCAGCAGTGAACGTAAACTTATTTCAAATAACTGTTTAAAAGTTGTTAATAAAGGTTTTTAACAAAAGTATCACAGCGACCAACATCCCAGCATGTGTTGCGATTGATGACACAATGCTCCCTCTGTCTCAATTCTGCAATTTGCACACTTGTGTACTACGCACTCGAAGACAGCGCACTTTCTCCAAGTGCACTTAGCTGAAGTCCGCAGGGTGCAGCGTGAGTATTAAGATTGTGCCTTGGTCATCGTTATGGCCATCAGCCTGGCCTCTAGTGATCCAGGATCACTCAGCTCCAGTGATCAGCCAGACACTGCCGGCCCCCTCTCCTCCAGGCTGCTGATGAGCACAGCTGACCTGAATCCCTCTGATGAGCCACACTTGGGATAAAAGGCTGTGCCCTCCAGCAGTCTAAGAGGCAGCAGTTCTGTTACCCTCCAGGCCTCACCTTGGTTATAAACCCCTTTGTGTGTTTGATGAGTTTTCACTGTAATGGTTTTAACTTGGAGAGATGAGTTTTAACTAACGTTAAAACTCTCGACAATCCAATAGGATCTTTTGGTAGGACCACTTGGGGAGGGTATTCCATCATTGATGTCAACTCATGCTTGAGTTGGTTATAATCTTAATCATCTCTGGTTTTTGTATTTTAAAGGTAAACTCTATTCTGGTTTGTCGGAACACCTTCAGGTTTGGTAAAACTTTAACAAGTTTTAATTGTTGATAAATTGTCTTTTAATGTTAACCTTTTAAGAGTTTTTTTTGTTTGTTTAGCATTATTTCAATAATGCTTACCAACTGTTTGCACACTTGTTTTTAAACCTTTTGACAATTAAACACATTTTAAGTCCATTATCATGTTTGTTACGTTACTCCCTCCTTCACATTTTTACCATCTCATGTCAGGGTCATGACAGTCATGAGCTTTGGGTAGTGACAAAGAATGAGATCACGGATATAAGCAGCAGAAATTTGCTTTCTCTACAGGGTTCCCTTAAGCCCGGAACACACACACTGCGGCCCTCTTAGCCGAGTCCCCTCATTTGGAGCATAATCATGTAAAAAATGATGAACATGAGGGTGATTTGCAAATCTGTGGTCGTCCAGTCTGACCTGCTCTGCAACAGCTTTTTGAACTGTCTGACAACCAAAATCAGCCTCAGACAGTCTACAAGCTTGAAAACCTACGATGTCGGCAACCGACCAATGAAATCACACCTTTGGGATGCCACTGCAGCAAGACTCTGCCTCTATGAGCTTCGGTTTCAATTTACATTAAAAATCCAAAATATAAAACTACACACCAATTTTGATTTTTTTTTTTTCTTGTTAATAGCCCAACTTAAACCAGAGTTATATAAAACATTAAAACATTTTTTGGACCATCAGATTAATTGTGAAAATGGTGATTATGGAGATGAGCTCACACAAACATAAAAATAAAACATGAGACCCATTTGCTGTTGGTGGAAATTTCACATATGAAACTGATAAGGATGGTTCAGTAGCGTTTTGTTGCTGAAGGACAGAGGAAGCTGCGTGACAGTGGGTGTGAGCTGTCAGCTGTGCAGCAGTGACAGATTGTTACTTCTCTGTAGTTTAGCGGGGTTTTGTGTTTAAAGGAGGATGAGAAGGATGAATGTCCAGCAGAAAGATCAGCTGGTCAGCTGGAAGACAAGGAGGGTGAGGTTTTCTTGGCACGTCCAACCAAGAGGAGATCTAAAGCAAGGCCAAGGACACGCTGGAGGACCTATTTCTCTTGGCTGGCCAGGAAACGCCTTGGGATTCCGTTGAAGGAGGGAAGCAGAAGTTTGGGCCTCTCTGCTTAGGCAGCTGTCCCTGTGACCCAACCCCGGAAAAGTGTAGGAAAATGGATAAACCCAAGTGAACGTCAAAAGCTCAGCTGGATTATTTAAAACACAGCAAACCCATCAATGTCTTGCCTTTGCAGTTCTAGTTAAGAAATGTGAATTGTCTGGCCCTAGACGCATAGATGTCTATCAACTTTAGAGCTGCAGGATGTGAACCCTCAACTAAAACCCACTTCATAAACATGACTTCAGGAAGCAAGTGTCCAGAAGACCAGACAGGACAGTTCGTATTGTAAAAACCAGTATAAAATACTGCAACGTGTCAGTGCACTCTTTCTCTAAATGAATCTCCTGCAGATTTGCTCATTTCAACTAAGTCAGATCTCACTGACACTTAAAGCTTAATAATGAAATGTGATCTGGATGAGTGAAGAAAGCTCACACATTCCTGTAGGCATACAGGTACACAGAAATAGCCCCCCCCCCCCCACACACACACACACACACACAACTCTCACAAGTTTTATTTGTCCCTCAGAGCAAAAGGCTATATTCAACCCCTCGTAAATTTACCGAGGCCCGCACTGACATGAGCGAACAGGCCAGCTGTAAACACATTTGTGTCATTTCCTCTTGGATTTCTAAGGCATGTGGCATCAGTTGGAGA